GTTTTGCAGAAACTTGCTAAATATTGATTCCAAAAAGTGTAAGCTCCAAACTGCAGTTAATTTAATTTTCACATGCAAAAAGTTTTGAGATTGGATTTCAGGAAAAAGGTTGAAATGGTAGCCAGTTCCCTTTCATTTTTCAGCTTGAAATTATGCAGTCAAGTATTAGAAAAGATTTTTTCCAGAGCTGGATAAAGTGGCTCCCTTTTGGCAAGTTTTTAGAAAATCTATAATATTGCTACCAAATACCAGTATAAGCTATACTTTGAAACTCAGGATAATGAAATTATATACTGAGGACAGTAGAATATATGTTTGTGAGAAAATGTGTGCTATGCTACAAGAAATATATTCTTGTAGTAATTATTTTAAGGGACACATTAGAGGAATTAGTGTTACACTTCGAGTTTTCATGCAGTTGTTGGTTATTTTTAACCCAAGATAGATGGTCATCTTTGATGTAGCTGAAAATGAGTATAAACAAACACATTCCCTTCTACTTTATAATAGATCTTTTCCCCTCGCAAATTACCTAAAAGCCATGTCTAACTAAGAGCCTAAACACTGTGGTATTTACTGGAGACCACAGCAGCATGACAGCCGTGCACTCAAATGATCCGTGAGGGTGTCGGGGCATTACTGGTTATCCCCTCGAGCCAGCACCACCTGTCCGCAGGGCTGCTCCCCGGTCCAGATCCTGGCTTCCTCCCCCTATGCCAGTCAGCTCAAGAGCATGGAGCACTGAGATGCTGAAGTGGGGACCATGCTGCCTTCGTTTTTGTGGCAGGCTTTCAGAACATCTGTAAAGTTTTCACTTTTTCTGTTATATGATCACATGCTTTCTATATCCCTTTAGTTTAACCATGGAACGGACATTCCTGAGCAAATCAGTTGAGAACACGCCTGATCTCTTCCAGCTTTTTAAGTATCTTTTCAAAATCAATTTAAATCTTCAGCAAAGTCTTTAAAATTAACTGTTCATTTGAGAAATCACTGGCTCGCACTGGTGAAAGTTCTTATCATGTGCAATTGTAAGGAAGTTGCATAAACATTACTGGGAACCATCCTTTCAGCTGAAATAAATTTTCCATCCTCAAATAAGGGCTTCTAACCCATATGGTACCACGTGACCTTGCACTCTTTTCCATAAGGGAATCTCATGAGTCTTATAACAAGAGAATCATGAATTTATGTGAAGGTTTCTATTTCAGATATCTAATATTTACAACTAAAAAAAAGACTGGAATTGTTCCTGGTTTTCACAGGATCACAGAACAGCTGAGGTTGGAAGGGACCTCTGGAGAGCATCTAGTCCAACCTCCCCTGCTCAAGAAGGGTCCTCTAGATCATATTTCCCAGGATCGCGTCCAGGTGGGTTTTGAATATCTCCAGGGAAGGAGACTCCACTACCTCTCTGGGCAACCTGTTCCAATGCTCTGTCACCCTCACAGTGAAGAAGTTTCTCCTCATGTTCAGATGGAACTGCCTGTGTTTCAGTTTCTGCCTGTTGCCTCTTGTCCTGTCGCTAGGCACCATGGAGAAGAGTCTGGCCCCATTCTCTTGACACCCTCCTTTGAGATACTTGTACACATTGATCAGATTGCCTCTCAAGTCTTCTCTTCTCCAGGCTGAACAGGCCCAGCTCTCGCAGTCTTTCTTCATAGGAGAGATGCTCCAGCCCTCTAATCGTCTTTGTAGCCCTCTGCTGGACTCTCTCCAGGAGTGCCATGTCTCTCTTGTACTGGGCAGCCCAGAATTGGACCCAGTACTCCAGGGGAGGCCTCCCCAGGGCTGAGGAGAGGGGCAGGATCACCTCCCTCCTCCTGCTGGCAACACTCTTCCTAATGCACCCCAGGATCCGATTGGCCTTCTTGGCCACAAGGGCACATTACTGGCTCATGGTTAACTTGCTGTCCACCAGCACTCCCAGGTCCTTCTCGGCAGAGCTACTTTCCAGCATGCTACTGTCCTGCTGCATGGGGTTCTTTCTCCCTAGGTGCATGACTGTGCACTTGCCTTTGTTGAACTTCAGGAGGTTCCCCTCTGCCCAGCTCTCCAGCTTGTCCAGGTCCCTCTGAATGGCAGCACAGCCTTCTGGTGTGTTAGCCACTCCCCCCAGTTTAGTATCATCAGCAAACTTGCGGAGGGGGCACTCTGTCCCTTCCTCCAGGTCATTGATGAATATATTGAACAAGACTGGACCCAGGACTGACCCCTGGGGGACACTGCTAGCTTCCTTTTCCAGAAGTGGGCAGAAGAGGAGGTAAGAAGTGAGGTAATGCTAACAGTTTCCCATTTACTGTCATTCCTGCCTTCCCTCTAGCCTGTCCCAAATAGCACACAGTTACTGCTCACCTAAATGCCACCACTCCCAAAGGGGATGAGCAACGCCTGTGAAGCTGCGTTAGTAATTTAGGACAAAGAGGCTGTGGTTTGGCAGCCTTCTGCAGAACTGAAATCCTTGGCTTGGCTCCAGCATAAGAGGTTTGTCCCTTCAAGCAGTGTCAGAACAACTGAGTTTATTTCCTCTACCGAGAGGAAAAATGAGTTAAACAGATATAGCTCACTAAGATTTTCTGTAGAGAATTTTCAACCATGACTCTCTTTCTTCCTTTAAAATCTGAAGACAATAGAATGATTATAGAGAAAATATTTTCAGTAAGCAAATCTCTAGGACTGTGCAAATAGGTCAACTAGCACTTCCCTTTGTCTGCCGATCTGGGGAAAGGTCTGTGCTTGCTTACACGAAAAGCTCAATTACCTCTCCCTATGAATATGCAAATTCCTAGTTTCTCTCAAATAAATGCATATGACCTGTCAGAACTGTCCCAAACCATACCATAACAGAAGTATTAAGCCTCGTTCTGATCCAGCCTTGCCAGAAGTCCAGCAGCCACCTAGCAATGGCTAGGAGCTGGAAGCCCTGTTAACTGCAGTTTTGACTCCTGCCCCTCCTCACTTAGAAAGCAAAGCTTGGTTTGAAAACCTTTTGGAGGAGATATTGTTACTTAGTTTGATCTGTATTGGTAAAGCGCTTAGTGGCCCATCAGTTCTTGATTCTATGATAATAGGATAAATTAATAATAATGACAATTCATTAATAACCAGTGTTATAAAAATGTTCTATGTATCAGTTAAGCATTATTAACATCAGTGAAGTTAATGTTATTCTATCACTACTGAGGATTGTGTTTCTAAGTAAGTTCATCCTTAGCTTTTTCAGGGGGCATCAAAGAGCTCAATTTGATGGATACCTGAAACCTTCAGAGAGAATAATCACTGGGAAGTCAATCGGTCAAGCTTCTAAAGTTATTCAGTCGACCACACTAGTAAGTGGAAAATTAAATCAGACCCAGTGAGTTTGGAGATAAACAGTTTGGCAGGGCAAGGGGAATTTGATTCTTTACTAAGAAGTTCTGGGGGATGACTGGCTGTGTGGCGTCCAAGAGAAGCAGAAATTATTTTTGATGGAAACAAAGTTTCCAGGGCGGGTAGCCGATGATGACAAGCATGAAGCATCACCTGAACCATGAAAGACTGAAGCAGAAAAGAGAAGCTACGCTCAGAAAATGAACTGTTTGATTTAGGCATCACAGCTTCGGAACTGCTAGGCCACAAAATCCTATTTGAATTCCCGCAGCTGTTTTCATGTCATTGATGTGAGCAAGTCACATGAGAGAGGAGGACTCGATGGCCGCAGGAAAATCAGAAATCAGATACGGAATCCTTTTATGCCAAGTTATTCTTGTGAACTGCCACCCATGGCCTGTGCTTCCTCAGGAGAAGACAACTGCGAAGAGCAGGCTGTGCAAATTAGTTTAGCAGGACAGGCTTTTTCTAATGCAGGCAACCCTGGAGCAAAAATGGTATTAGCTATGTGCTTGCAGACACCACCTGTCTAGTCCATGACCAGCAAATCTAGCTCTTCTAGGGAGCACGGACACTGTTGTACACGTGCAAGACCATTCATGCAGTGATGTGCAGCCCTCCCTGACATGGAAACTAAGTTCTTGTCCAGTCAGAAAAGTTGAGTATCTCACTCTGGAGCAACTAATGAGGAACGCAGATAGGAGCAAGGGATCTGAGCTGGTAGAAGGCAGTGATCAGGCTGGACAGAAAAGGGTTTCAGAGCTGAAGGAAGCTGTTCTGGGATTCAGTGGAATGATAGAGAGGGAAATGATGGCTTATCAGCTGAAGGGGATGATTTCTGGAGTCCATATCTCTGCTGAGGACTCAGCAGAACACGGCAGACATAGTGCAGGGCACCGTGGAACCAGTGACGAACAAGCAAGGTAGAAAAATGTTTGTTGAAGACCCCACAGCTGCCTATGTGGTCTGGGACATTTTGTAAACATGGCCTTGATTCTGTTTGCAGATGCAGAATAACTACCTTTAATGTTTATTTATCTATTAATTAGGGTTCAATTTCAATCCCTTTTTGCAAAGAAATCCCTGGGATGTGCACAAGCTCTCTAGAATTTCTGTGCTGAATGCAAGTGCTCTGGCCTACTCTTCACTGGCAGCTGGGTTCACAATTTTCCCTATGAAGATGATACTGCTGGCAGCTTTGTCAAAAATTAGCATCAGGAAGGGCCTGTTGAATCTGATGACAGGAGGAGGAGGAAGCTGAAGAGACGTTGCCGTAATTTCCACCACAGTCACGGCAGCAGCCTCTGTGCCGTTCTCATTAACATCCACTTTTGCTTTGTGAATTGCCTAAAAGGGAAGCAAAGATTAAAATGTAGACACCAAAGAGTAAGAAGCAGTTGGGGACAAACTTGCTTGCTTTAACATCATAAGAAGGTAATTTGTAAAAGGAAGCACAGAATGAGTGTATTACTGGCTATGGAGAAGATGTTCATATGCAACCTTTCCAAGAAGAACAAAGCTTGCTCTGAGCTTTGTGAAAGTTTTCTTCACTAGTTTGGCAGAGCCAAACTCCACTGCTTGCAGAGACTGAGCAGAACGGAGGACGTATCTTGTTATGTTGTTTCTCAGAGTAAGATTTCTTTCTTTAATATTTAACATCACAGAAGAATGTTTTCACTTTACATAAATCTCTCTGTGTGCAAAAAAATCTCCTTCTGCAAAGACACACTAATGACAAGCTTTATCAAATATCTTTCTGGAAGGCAGCTGGCCCACTGATATGGCTTTACTTTACAGGATTTTCAGTGGTGGGTACAGCAAATTCATACTTCTGAACCCACATGTGATCTTATTTCGTTGTCTTTGCCCACCTTTTGGTGCTCTTTCTTCGTTGTCCATAACACATCTTGAATTTCCTATTGTGTGTTCTGCTACTCTTCCTCCTGTTCACTGATCCTATTTCCTTAATTCACACGTTTGCACGTATTCAGTGTGAGGAAGCACAAAATGATTAAATAATATAGGTTGGAAGGACCTCTAGAGGTCATCTAATGCAACCAACCACCAACACAAGGTCAGCTCTGAGGTTAGATCATGTTGCTCAGGGTCTTATCTAGTCAGGTTTTGAACATCTCCAAGGATGGAAATTTAATATCCTAAGTAGCCTGTCCTAGTGTTTGATCATCCTCAGAGTGAATTTTTTCTTTCATAATTTCCAGTCAGAATTTCCCGTGTTCTAACTTGCATCCATTGCCTCTTGTCCTATCACTGTGCACCTGCAAGAAGGGTTTAGCTCCATTTTCTTTGCATCCTCCTGTTAGGTAGTTGAAAGCACTAAGAACCCCCTCACCTTCTCTTCTCCAGGCTGGACAAGCCCACCTCTCTCAGCCTCTCCTCATATGTCGTGTGCTCCAGCACCCTGATCATCCTGTAACCCTCTGCTGGACTCACTCTGCTCCCATATGTCCACATCTGTCTTGCACTGGGGAACCCAGAACTGGATGCAGTATGCCAGAGGAGATCTTACAAGCACAGAGGAGAGGGGAATAACCACTTTCCTTATGATGCAAGGCATATATTCCCTGGGACACTAGGCAAATCACTTAATTTTTTTGTGCACGAGTTTCTCATCTGTGAAATAGGGCTATTCCTATCTCACAAGTTTGTTGTCTGTATAAATTCTGAGGTGCTCAGATAATGTAATAGTAAAAGACATATACAGCGAATAACTATTCCCGAATTTATGCCAAAACTTTATGACTTTTGTCATGTTGAATTAACTGTTTTACATCAGCTTTTAGTGAAATGATCTCCGGTCATGCTATTTTTTTCTGTCTTTGCCAGTTCTATTTTCTTCTTCAGAAACTTTCAGGTGAGTTTGCAGGGTTGCTGTGCAGCAAACAATTTAATGTTGAATTTTTGGAACAACAGCCGTCTAATCCCTAACTTCTCCTTCCTTTATTAGCATCAGTGAGTCATGAATGTACTCCTGAAAGGGGATCAGGCTATTTGTGAAGATTAAAAACCCGCACGTAATAGGGGCAGACAAATCTCATGATCACCATCTCTGCTTACACACTTACTTTGGAAACCTTTAGGCGAGTGTTTTCCGTCATTCCAGAGAGATCAGCTTGGTCACTGAACACTTCTGTCACACCCATTTCCTGGAACAGGTGCTTGACATCATAGGAGCCAGAAATGGAGAATTTTGGAAGGTGCAAGTAGATTTGTCTTTTCAGAAATAAATGAAAAATGTGGGTTTATTATTGAAATCCTTCTTATGATGAGGAGCTCATAAGGCAGGTATGTACCCATCCCAAATATCTGTGGTACTGATCTTTTGAGGCCTGGCTTTCTAAGAGAGTGATAACCTCTATGTTACAGAAGCAGAAATTGAGATACCAGTGCCCCTAGACACGGTTTGGGCAGTTGTGCAGGGGCACGGTGCTGGTTTTCGAAAGTGACTAAGTGGACAGTGCCATCTAGGATGGAGAAAAGGAAATGGCATTTTCTTTCAAAGTGGATTCTCCTTACTCCAGGTTGACTCCCGAGGGCCACGCACTCGGGAGGGTGCATACTGTGTGGGTACTCCACAGCTGGCAGGGCTCCCATTGCTCTAGCTGAGGGAATTGAGAAGAGAGTTTTCCTCATGTGTGAAACCTCCTGACTCCTCCTCTGACCTAAGTGGACTGTGCAATGCCTGTGCAATGCCATGCTCAGAGCGGTGCTTAGCAACTCAGTGTGGGATCCTAAATTATACCTTGCCTGGATGAGTAGTTATGGCCCGTTCTATGTTCAAACATACCTGAGTAAAGGAAGAATTAAAGGATTACCTGTTGTTAAGTGATTTTGCCCAGTTAGACACAGTTTCTTTCAGCAGAGCAGCCTCCACCTGCTTCATTGTCCCTTCATCAGGCAGAACAAACAATGCAGCAACATTTCCTTTGTATGGGATTTCTACCACCCAGCAAGACAACTTCTCATCCCTATAGGTGTTATAGGCTTCATTTCGATGCATCATTTTGACCTTAACAGACTTCTTGGCATCCATGAAAAAGTCATCATCGCTGGTGAGCAAACTGCTGAAAGGTTGTTCCCAGTAGCCTTGTGACAAAGGAATGAATATAGAGTTAAATAAAATGAAAAAGGGACTAATTAGGGCATACCAGATTAGTTGATGCTCGGAATAATATATTTGAGTGGTAAAGTCAGCAACAAGCGTATCTCCATTATAGCATGCTTGACCTGTGGCCATGGACAGAAGCTTTATGTTGTTTTAACAGTTCTGATAAAAATCACCCCAGTAAAATATAGGCTGAGGGTTGCTGTGGAGAAGACCTGAGCTTTTGTCTAAGTCAGTGGTGAAACTACTGCTGACTTCCACAATGCAGGCTCCAGGCCTATTCCTTCCATAAAGGTGTTCTCACTGGTGTGTCACTTTGACCATCTGCTGCATAGCCAAAGAGCTGTGCCTCTCTACTAATGATTGTGAGTGGCCAAGCTCATCCCTTCAGCGTTCTGAATAGTTTCATCTCTGAACCTGACTTAAAATGAATGCAGCATTGGCCAGTACATCTAAAAATTGGGTTTTTTTTAGCATACCTAGCATGCTTCATACCTAGATTTCATCATTTAAAGGAAGAAAGACCTACATTCAAGTAGGTGATAGCATAGGCTGACTTTGTGAATAAATTATGTTTTTAGATTGGGATCAGAATTCCAGAGCATATGTGCATAACCTCTAACCACACTCATCACGCCACTCACCTTTAAAGAAAATGTAGTTAACCAGAACCATCACAGTGTATGGATCAAGACTCTTGAGCAAGTTAACAAACATTCCATGCGTTTTCATTTCTATGTAATCATTGATTTCCTTTTTAGCCTCTGAAGCATTCTGGAAGTTACTAGAAATAGCTTCAGAATCATAAAAATTTGTAACATCATCCACAAATTTTTTGAGCAGTTTCAGTTGGTCATCTACGAACAGGGCATTGCCCATGCTCAGCTGGACTTCTCTGTGAGGGTCGTTCAGTAACTGAAGGAGACGCTGAAAGCCTTCGTGGACTTCCCACTCCTGGATCTCCGTCAAGTTGAAGGCGAGGGCTTTGTGCAACTGTTGGCGCGTGGCTGCTCTGGCCCCCAAAGAGAGCATTGCAAAAGCAGCTGAGAGGCTCAAAGGAGAAAAGAAAATGTTCTTGTCACCTGCCTCTGCCGCGACTTGCTTGTAAAATCTAAATGCAAAGTCAGCATTGCTCGGGGCTATCTTGAGATGAGCCAGGTTTTCACCTTCAGCCTGGCGACGGTCTCCTGGAGAGTGAACTCTTTTTTGTTCCTCTTGTTCATTGTTGTGGCTGGGCTCATGGTGACCCTGGACATGAAGCCCAAGAAGCAACAAACACAAATACAAGGTAGACTTCATTTTTTTTCTGATTGTTCTGTTAAGAAAGAATAGATTTACTTTTAGACACAGAGCATTTTGTTTCCTGCATAAAAATGATTCTTATATTTTAGATACTAATCTTCAGATGTTAATGGTTAGGATTACTGATCTATTTAGAAATACTCTTCTACTTGGTTTTCAGCCTAGTCCATTTCTATTCAGTTCCATCAGTTTCCAGCCGGTTGGGCATTTACTAAAAGAAGAAAGATATTAATGTAACAGCACCAGGGAATAATTTGTCCCGTGTAGCCTTTGGTAAGGTATCATGTGTGAAGTAGATCTAGCCTTGGAATTAATTTTTTATCCCTGTTTTTTGGTACTCCAGGTCTGTAAATCTCTGATAGGATTTCCATAAAATGAAGCAACAGTACTATAGCAATGCTCACAGTTTGATCAATCTTGGTTCAGCAATGGGTGTATTGAGTCTGCTGCCTATGGTCTCATTGCCCTCCTATGCACCTTTGGGTGCATAGCAGAGTTCACCTGGTGCCCCCCCAAGCATTCAGTAAGTGTTTTGGCAGGCAGAGTGGCTTTTGCTAATGTATTTTTATAGTGCCCAAGGTATTGTTATGGCTTGGGGTTGTCAAACACTGCAGTGATACAAATGTAATGTCACTTACAAGACTGAATAAAATCCATCTGTAGGCTCACCGTTTAAACTTTTACATCCTTCTGTCTCTTACGCAGCAGCTCTGAACTCAAGAACTGTATTATTTCAAAACATAATCTTAAGTGTTTCAGCAAAATGAGGGTGAAGCAAGAAAGTTTACTGGCTGTCTCTATTGCACATAAAATATCCATAAGGTTGCAAAGCTAAATGCTCAAGAGCTTAGGATAAGTTACAGTGAAAGTTGCCTACGCAGCTTAATTTCAGCCGTGCTGTGTATGTGTCTGCATAATTTGATAGGCTTTAATTACATAATTCCACAGTCTCTCTTCCATCCTTTTCGGGGAATGAATCATGAAATATACTGGAGAAGCATGCCCTCAGCAGGGGCCCTCACCTAATTTACCTCAAAATCTAGAAGCTCAAAAATACGAAGGAGGCAGTGGAGTGCAGGAAAATAGAGAAGATGTTAACGTTGTTCACAGCAGCTGAATACTTTTTCTAGAGCATTGGATTCTGCGCCAGGCTCTGCCTCAGGCTGTGTCTAATGCCAGGTGTGGTTCTTATATCAAAATTTTCATGGGCAGTTGTTAATTCCAGATTTCCCCTTTTCTGACTGCCCAGATGAGATGCTGAAGATTTGAGCTATGGCAGTGCTGAGTATGGGAGCTGTACTCAGCTTGCCTAAAAACCGAGATAAAACTGTAGATTCTGAAATTAAATGGCATTCTAAATGGAAGCAACTCATTTCAAGCTGATGAGTACTTTTTCTTAATTCTCCAGATCTGCTTTTGAAGTAGACCAGTTTCTCCTCCTGGCTGTCTAGGTGCCAGTAGCCACATCGCTGGGAGCACTGGAGGTTCAGGGACTCTACCCTCAGATCAGGCATCTGCCCTGTACCAGCCTAGAGTAGCCAGGAGCAAATATTACATGAAGCACCTGGCGTCCTTGCGATAGCTCTGAGTGGGGCCACAGTCGTTCTTCCAGTGGAGCTGGTATGGCTTCAGCAGGAGCTGAGAGGCTTAGGCGTGCTCAGATAATGAAATCTCCAGGGATTTTCTTTTCTAACCTATTACAATACGAATAAATGTGCAACCTGACTTTTCCCAGAAGCTTAACTGGCCTGTTTTTGATAGATTTTCACAGAGATCTCTGATACAAGGGCCACTTCTCTGCCAAGTCTTGACTCTCTGCTTCAAAACATGGACATGACAGAGTTCACAAAGAAAAAGTCTCCAAAAGCTGGTGCTATTTTCCTTTGCTTTCTTTTTTAGGACATAAGCTTCTTGGAAGTAGGTGGATCCATTTAACTGAAGTGTTCAAAAAATAAAATATAAAAATTAGACGTTGGTGGTTAAACACGTAGAAAAGTGTAGCCTGAATAAGAAGATTTGGTAAAGGAATTACTGACAGAAAGCAGTTCACCAATAATAAGCAGGCAATACGGGTCAGCTCCAGAATGTGCTACTTGCCCTGCTCGTATGTGATGTGGAAACAAGGTCCTAAAATCACCAAGGAGCTACACCTTTGGCAAGAGATGTGACTTCAACCCGATGCTCCTGCCTAACTTCAGATGTAGGTAGGAGATCTTCTACAACTGAGACTTTATGAAAATTTTCAACAGGATTTTTCTAACGTCCAGCAAATCTCAAAGAAATGAAGCTGGAAATTGTAAAAAATGCAAATATTTTGTTATAATGATGAAATCTTTCAAAGTGAAGCTTTCCATATTTACGATTTCTGAGCAGTAGCTAAGAGGAGGCAGCCTACTGTACCTTTTTAGTTATGTGCTAACATATTTCTCTGAGATTTCAACAGCCCGACCCTATGTCAGGCCTCTGGTTTGTAAAGGGCACTTGACATTACAATCGAATTTGCTCCTCTGGGAGCAGACACAAGGTTTTGTGTTTCTCCAAAGCGTTGATGACAGTGAAGTACTTACTGCAGATTTCATCTTCCAGTCATCTCGTCATTTCATCTAGGAGTTTGACCACTGCTCGAACCCTCCTGCTGACATTTAAAACATGTTTCCAGGAGGCTAAGAGTATTTCTAATTGCTGCTACAAAATACAGTTCATCTCAGAATGAAATATTGTATAATAAACAGCAGAGATCCCAGACAACATGCATTCAAATTCTCTTAAGAAAGTATAATATGGTACTTACAGTGCATTTAACAAGTTGCTGCACCTCTCTTTCACAGTGCTCCTTCCCTACTCTTCATTTCGCTGGGTAGGATTAAATTACTGTCCACTGGTAAATATTAAGCAGAGCAAACAAGATTTATTTGCAAAGCAAACACTGAGCAAGCTATTTTTTTCTGGACAGTTTATTTTCCCGTTACAGAGGCAAAATGTTGCCAGCACATGGGGCTTTGTGGGAGGAGCATAAGCAGGGACTTTGCTGTTTTGGGATTGCACTAAATTGTGGACAAGAGAGCTTTGCGAGGTAACGTGGCCTAACTGTTATAAATACTTCAGAAAACGGATTACTAGAAGAGCTGGAAACCAAGACAGGGCCCAAGCAGCCTCTGTGTATAAAAAGGATGGTGTATCTTACTGAGCTTTCTGCATGGGACATTCTTCTGCAGCAAGGATGCTGCCTAAATATGTAGCCAAGGCAGTAATGAGTTTGTTCAGGATTAGCTCAGCCTCTCCGTGTTGCCCTACAATATGCAGTGTAGACATACCCTAACCAGTACTCTTTGGAAGTCCTTACTTTATTAGATAAAGGATACTGATTAGATTTACAAAAAGATTTTGATGAGTTTGGTTTAGAAATTACTAAAATAATAGGAGAAAAGTAAAATATCAGCATGCAGCACGGCTCGAAAAATAGCCAAACCCAGAAAACAAACGGAAGAATGAAATGGGCAATCTTCATCCTGGCAAAATGTTAAGCGAAGAAGAAGAGAGAAGATCTTCTTGATGCCTCACTACTTCCATACAGTATGATTTATGTACATATTGGATGTCATATCAGGGTATCTCTTAGGGCCATTTGAGAGAGATAGGAACTATTTAGCTATTTATAAGGTTATTTAAGGATGAGATGCATGACACTCATCCTAATTAGCAATGGCTAATTATTGCCACTGAATGTACATGATTTCACTCTAGGTAACCTAATCTGCAATTTATCTACACACAGCAATCTGTCTACCATAGTTATCATTGTTTAAACATTATCTTTTAGTAGCCAGAAATGGTTAGAACATATTTTCACAGATAGCTCTTTCTTCGTGAAGTATGTAAGGACATAGAAAGTTTATTGCAGTGTTACATAAAATGACCAAGGTTTACCAGGAGTTAGTATGCTGTTGCTTAACTCTAGAAAAGATAGGCTGTTTTTTCTGAAGTCTATGCCTGCCTGCATAGATAGCACGAATCTTTCAATACAGCCCTTATCCTTGGCTAACCATCTGAAGGATGCTACTGTTCTCGGGGAGGAACTGCAGGGAACAGTGCCACTTCTGCAGCAATTGCTCTCTTTCCTCTCTGGCCATGCTGGAGCACTCAGCGTGTCAGCGAGATGGGAGTAACTGGTCCCTGACACCTGGACATCTATTCCCCTGACCTGGGCGCACGTATGAGCCTAGTCAAGGTTAAGGCTTGCAATTATATCAAACCCACAAATGACCATTTCTGCTTGCAAGCTTTGAAGCCATCAGTTTCCCCGCAATTCCAGATAGACCAGCACGATCAATGAATCAGTCGCATTGTCTTTTGACAATCTCCCTTAGGAGAAATAGAGATTCTTGTAAAATACAAGTATCTCCTGCTGCATGCAATAGAAAATGAGGGTGAATCATCACACGAGGGTAATACCAGTGTACCTGCTAGATGGCAGCATCTGTGAGATACTGGTGAATGTGAAGCCGTTTATTTTTTGTATACATCTTCCTGTTGGTGCAAATGGCTGTGTAGAAGACATTGTCCACAGAACAGATGTCTATGAAGTGAAATGTGAAGGTAAATCAGGACGTCTGTGTGGAGTTTTGCATGAAGGCAGCCCATGCGGTGCAAATTCAAGGAGCACTTAGGTGTTTCTAGAGGAGCAATGCCTGGGTCGGAGGCACTCCTGCTCCAGGAGCCAGGGTATCACTTGCCATCTGGAGAATCACACAAAGGACTGACAGAAGTGCTTTTCCCTACCGGCCTGATAATGGCCTGTGTTGACCTTTCTTCATTAACGAATTTATGGAATGATTTAATTCTCTCTTTCC